TCCTCCCCAAGGACCTGGGATAGGCAGATATTGTTGTTGTTATTATTATTTAAATTTTTTATCCTGCTTTTATTATTTTTTATAAATAATTCAAGGTGGCGAACATACCTAATACGTTGTATGCTGGCCGTGAAAGCCCTCGACAATACCTAATACTCCTTCCTCTTCCTATTTTCCCCACAACAACAATCCTGTGAATTAAGTTAGGCTGAAAGACAGCGACAGGCCTAGTCACCCAGATGGCTTTCATGCCTAAGGCAGGACTAGAACTCAGTCTCCTAGTTTCTAGCTTGGTGCCTTATCCACTAGACCAAACTGGCTCTATTATTTCTATTATTATCTATCATATCTCCTAGTCTTTGACTTTGTTCATGGAATCCCTGGCTATTTTCCTGCCCCCATGGTTGGAATTGTTACTTTTGTTCTCCTCACCCTGCTTAATATTGTTATTTTTAAAAAGAAGGTTTCATAAGGAAATTCCATCTGGGGATTTTCAGATTGGTGAAAAGGGTCTCTGTTCACTATATCCACCAATGTATTATATATTTCTAGATTAACTAGGAAATATAATTACAGAACATGTAGAGTGTGTTGTCAAGTTCACTTCACAAACATGAATGAATGAAAAATCAACACTAATTGTTTAGTGTAATGTAATTGTAAATCTCTCTTTAATAGAAATGTAACCTTCAGCTGCCCAATCTATGCTGTTAAATAGATTAATCATGCCACAAGAACAGAATAAGGTATGTTTTGCCAGCATTCTCAGGTAGTTTCAGCTGAACAAACAGGAGGTGTTTTCCATCTTGTGATATATTTTTGCATTTTCTCCTCATCATGATATTGACCCCTAAGTCTTAACTGACCCAGTCATGTGTGGAAAGCCACAGGATCATTCTGTTATGCATAGCTACCTTTATGCTTATCCTGTTTTGTTCATGTGCAGATTGTAAATGTATACATCAGTCTTCCTCAATTAGTGCCTTCCTGATGTGTCAAAGTATGACACACTTAGCTGGGATTGATTGAAAACCAATACATTTGTTGAATACAGAAGTGTTTAGAATTAAATGCAGCATGTCCTAAAAACCAGATGCTGGGAAGAAACAGTGGAAGAGCACCATTACTTTCATGTCCTCCAGATGAGTTTCGTAGATGCTTCTGATCAGCCATGTGTGACACACAGTGCTGAACAAGACTGGCCTGAAGCAGCAGGCTTCTTATGAAGGCACTAGATTGCGTAGAGATTTATGCAGCTTACTTAAAATCAGGTGGAGAGCCACTTTGGTGTAGTGGCTAAGGCACCAGACTAGAAACTGGGAGACCAGGAGTTCTAGTCCTGCCTTAGGCACAAAGCCAGCTGGGAGACCTTGGGCCAGTCACTCTCTCTTAGCCCTAGGAAGGGGCCAATGGCAAACCAATTCTTGCCAGGAAAACTACAAGGAGTCATCCAGGCAGTCGCCAGGAGTCAACACTGACTTGAAGGCGCGTGTGCGCGCACACACACACCAGCTTTCACTTGCTCACTGTCATTTCATCTCTGGCTGTTTGCACAACTGAAAGATGGTTTACTGAATTAACCCATCTGCCTGCGTTTGCACCATGCCGTGAGCCAGGCTTTAACCTAGCACTTTCTGAGACAGCAACAAGCTTCATCCTTGGATCTTACAAGAAAAGGCTCCTCTTTCGAGCCTGCTTCCGGAAATTGTTTTTCAAGGTTACATTTTCGGAAGGTCCAGCGGCGCCGCTCATCTCCTTTTCCAAACTGTCCGCCAAAACTTCCCTCCTTTGCAAGAACAGAGGAAGAAAAGGAGAACGCGGGGAAACGGCGCAGCTGAAAGAAAGAAACAGCTGCTCGCTCGCCAGTCCTTTTCCCTTACAGCCAATCCACGAGGAAGTCCCCCCTCTCGGCCCAT